TCTCTTGTGCGCCTCGTCGCCTGCTGGAAGCGATCGCCGCGCGCTACGTGGCCGACTCGCTCTTCCGCACGCCCGCCGTGCTGGGTTCGCTCGAGCTCTTGGGCAACCCACGGTGCTCGTCAACAGCGTGGCCACGGGCATCTACGATTTCTTCGCCCTCCCCGCCACCGGCGCCAAAGAAGGTACTGTCATCGCTCATTTTATTCTGCAGACCTGAATGGCTACTGACTGCACCAATCCCAAACTAGCGGGCGTGCTGGGCTTCATGTCGGGTCTGGGTCGCGGTCTCTCGTCGCTGGTGATGCACGTCTCGGAGGGCACCCTCACCTCCGTGTCGGACCTCTCATCGAGCTTGATGCGGAACGTTGACAACTTGTCGCTCGACAGGTACCATCCTGCCTATGACAAACACAGCAAATTGCTGTGCTTTACTAAACGTGCCGTAACTCTGTAGCGACTATGTGCGCTACAACAAGATGCGGCTGCGTAACGCGCCGGAACAGGTGCACACGGGCTTTGCGCGAGGCCTGCAAGGGTTTGGCGAAGGGTGAGTGACCGAATCCTTGACGCGCTGTGCTGTGCTGTGCTGTGCTCGCCTGTCTGTCCACTTCTCACGGTTTACCGCTTGCTTGGGATCGGCAGAGTCATTGACGGAGCGATGGGTCTCGTTGCCCACCCGATAGCGGGACTCTCCGACGGTGGCCTAACCGGAGCCGTCAAGGGTCTGGGCATCGGCGTCATGGGTGCCATTTCCAAGCCGCTCTCCGGCGCCGTCGGGCTGCTCGCCCAGACTTCGCAGGTACTCTTCCAATGGCCCATCAGATCTCCGTGCCCCCCCCCATCTGGGCCTTGTTGCTGCTAACCACGGATCACCATCACCATCGCAGGGAGCGTTGGGCTCGGCGGGGCTCGGTCGGTATCGGCTGTACCAGCGCCACGCGATGCCCAAGGCGCTCGAGCCAGCCTCGAACGCCCGGATGAAGTCATCGTCAAAATTTTCGAGGAGAGGAAGCAGCGCGAGCTCAGGC